AGAAAATGGATGGAATGGTTTTGTAGTCCACGTATGGGCTTCTATTACATGTCGTTTTGAAAAAACTCGTCCTGAACGACTGTAAGTCCCTTGGGCATATACTGCGAATTGCGTGTCGGTCCGCACCCTTGTTCGGGGGGAGGGGAGGGGATCCGCCTGTTTCTCCACCAGTTAGGTTTTCCCTTCTTCGAACTTCAATCTTATCGTGGAATCTTTCGTTGAGGGCCACTTCCATTTCAGGCGAAGTCCATGGCGGATCCCAAAATAGGGTTATTCGTGATGAGCGCTTCGCTTCATCTGTTTTACCCGATAAGGTTAAGGTGGATTTAGAGAGGGTAAGATCCAATATGGCTGTTTTTGATTGGTGATGAAGAGGAATTACTTAATAATAATTAGTCCGAAAAAGAGTTCACACTTGGTCTCATAACAGGCGACTTCAACTTATTTAGACGCGTTAACTAGAGTGCTGTGCTACCTGCATCCCCGTTCCAATAGTATTTGCGAAAACGTTAGACGTAGTAGTTTGCACGCCATAGCCGCACGCTCCTAAAACACCTGTAAACGATACGCACCTGGTCAACAGGGGCCTCGAAGCTCATTCGCTTCATATGCCCGTCTATCACACTGCTGCGATGGGATCCTTTCGGTGATGGTACGATGTTCCTGCTGAGGTCGCAAGCATAAGTGAGAATGTGAAGCTCGATCAGAAGTGCTAGCACCCACTCAGAAATTGTAGATGCTATCCAGTTGTCATAAAACTGCAAAAACAGTATATTGTTAGATGTATGAGCACGATTAATGCTGCCTTCTTGCTTTGATAGAAAGTAATTAAGTTTTTTCTAAGTTCAAAACAGAATTTTCTGGACCTGCCCAGGAATTTGAAACCATACCGGGTCTCCTTTTTTATGTCGTACTATTCCTGTAGGTGGTGTGACTTCAGTAGGTTTTGTGCCGTTAACAGATTTCACGAACGGCTCACCGAATAGACACGTCATATCTGAAGTTTGCCGCACTCAGAGTGAAGTATGTATCAATTACCGCTATTTTTCTATTGGAGTCGCCTTTAGTCTTCCAAGAGCCGAACTTTACTCATGGTTAGCAATTACCTGTATGCCAGAAACGTGATAGGGTTGGGGATTCAACATAAACAAAAGTGTTCACTATGCGTTAATAGCTTATGTCATAAGGGAAATACTGTCGAAACGGTATTCAAAATCTGGTAGGTTTCATAACGAACAGCTTTGCTCCGTTCAATAACTGCCGTGCAAAAATGACTTAAAGCAACAGTCCCAGCAGGGTGGGCGTGGTCGGAAACGACTGCAATCCCCTCGGCCGATTCCGACCACGCCCACTTCAGCTCCCTCCCTAGCGGCTTTCCAAGGTGAGTTTTTGTTCAGTCACACTTCTTACGTTCTTGACTAGGGGCTGAACAGCTCCGAAGTGGGAATCGGCCGAGGGGATTGCAGCCGTTTCCGACCACGCCCACCCTGCTGGGACTGTTGCTTTAGCTTTCCACTTTGGAACGGGTCAAATGATTAGTGGCAGCTCAATGGGTCAACCTGACTATATTAACAAATTTATGAGAAATGCCAGCTTCTTATGGAAACAACAGCATCTTTGGAAGGACACAAGTATCATTCAAACATAAAGTACGTCATATACAGCAGATTTCAGACATCTTTCACAACCAGATTCGTCACGAGCTTTCTCTTCCATCCTCACGAATTACCATTTGGAGGACTGCTAGTACAAATATTGTGTAGGAGTCCATGATGAAGGCCTCTCGACTGAGTGAGCTTAACAAGACGGTTCGTTTCGAATCCGCTCAGAGAAACATAAGAATGAACAGGTTTTTAACAGGTGGTTCTTCGAGTAGGAAGGCGCTCCCATAGCCGTGACTAGTAAAAGCTCGTTTGAGTTTGGGATATGTTTTCCGCTAAGAATATTTAATCAAGAAATGCCGGGTGCATTTCGCAGCTGATGGAAGGACCCCAGCAAAGGCTTACTGATCTCCGGTTGAGGAACTTCGGTGAAGGATACCAGATGGGCTCGACTGCATTTTGCAACAATATACTCTCTGTGGCCCATGTATCGAGTAAAACAGAACGGGCTTCTGCTACTTTGTGTATGATCTTGCTGATCATTTACAGACGTTCTCGAAGTTTCTCGAAATCAATTTTATGGGTTGCCCCTGATGCAGTCTGGATCAAGATCCTAAAGAAGACATCTCAGGAATTGTTGTGAGACAGATCTGCACTCGTAAAAACTTCAGGTGTGCTAAGATGTCGCGGTTGGAGTGGATGTTGCTCCTCTGTGGAAAGTACAGATCGTCCGGACATATTAAAAAGGGGATGTGCTTGCACCAAACATATTCACATAATCGCAAATGCGCTCATAGAAAGGCGATATTTGGTTGTTGAAATCCTCTTGCCAGGGTGCTTTGATACTTCTGAAGCAGGGCGCATTTCAAAATTTCAAAAAAATATTTGCAGCCGATATTGCTCTTTGAAACAAAATGGACTACAGTTTCGGTGTACGCTGATTTCCATTAAGTAGGTGGTAAACCATAAGCCCTATCCTCAGCAGCTTTTAAGGGTGCCTTTGTCCATTTGGAACCCATTGTATTTCAAAAATGGCCCCATCGAATACTTTTGCCAAGTACCGCAAAGTAATTTTCATCGCAATGTCACAATTTCAGCAACCCCAGCCTTTCTAAAATGATTTCGGGCCAAAACTAAAGTCGTTTTGGAATCTATAATACTCAGGTTTTCATACTTAATAAAACAGTACTGTAAAGTTCCAATTCAAGACCATCTTGAGGAATATGCTACGCATTGACATCCAGCTCGAAAGGCGGTTTCTGTCCCCTATCAGACAGGCTGACGCTCCTCTCTTCACCAAACATCTATTGCTCAACCCCCGCTTCCACTTCTGTAACCAACGTCCTGGGGCTTCCCCGAATGGTTGCGGGGACGAAAGTCCCTTTAAATTTTTTGTTTTGAACGATACTGTTTCTTTATTTTCAATGCATGCTTACTTTAAGCTACACACATATATTAGGCCCTTTATCAGGACAATCCCAGTTGGGACTACAGAGAAAATTTAAAGGAATTTCGTCCCCTAACCCTTCGGGGAAGCATACCTTACGGCCCCTGGATCTTCCCTTAGGTGGTGAGCCAATAAAAACACATCACACAGCAAACAGCTGCTATAAAGCATTCAGTTTTTCACCAATTTATATGAAAGCTGGTGAGCAAAGGCATGAGATAAGCCGTTTAGACAGAGCGAGCACCCGAAGTAAGCGTGAATTACGACGTTCCTGCCGTAGTCACGTACAATGCGCGTCGCATCGACGCGATTTCCGCAATGACAATCCTATAGGTTATGCTCACAATGAGGCTACCCCGCTGGGCAGCAATCCAAAATAGATGAGCGAACGCTGCGCGCGCTTCGCGCGCAGGCTAGGGGAGGTTATCCCCGGGTGCCGCGCTAGACTAGGCGCGAGGCCACTCTGGCGTGCGTGCCATCCTCCACCTCCTACATGAACGGCGCTCAGTATAGTTGGCGGGTTGCTCGACATATTCTCTCTCCGTTGAGAGAGCGCAGAGAAAACGAATAGTGGGAGGCGAGCACACACTTCAGCGCGTCAATGCGTCGCGCATTGTACGTGACTACAGCAGAACATTATAATTCACGCTTTACTTCGGGTGCTCGCTCTGTCTAAACGGCTTAAGTCCGAAGGCATTCTGACACGCTGACTCCGACAACAGCACACATCTTCAATGTGAACTTCTCTGAAATTCGATATGGCAATTTTGAGGTGGTTATAGATGTGAGGTCTATAGTTATAATGTGCATTGCACTGTAAATGCGCACGCTGGCTCATCGTGGAGATCACCTTTCAATTTTGTCTAACTCCACCCAGCCTTTCATTTCCGACGATGGAGAATAAATTATACACCCTGTGCTTCTTGAGAAAACTAGCTCTGATGTCATCTCGTTTTGCGGACCCAATTAATTAGCAGCAGGTAAGAAATATAGCAAAAACTCACGGAATATAAGTAAGGCGGTGATCAATAAATTAAGCACAACACGGAAATTTATCAAATGCAGAGATACCATTCTTGGTCTGAATTTAATAAGATTAGATTTATGAGATATTCATTTTCACTCTTTCTTTTTACTTCATCTCAACTAATCAGAGTAACTCGAGCACTTCACTAGAATATTCCGTTATAAGCTACTCTGACAAGGAGGGTCTTTCAGGACATGGAGCG